TTTTTTTTTTTTTTTTTTTTTTTTTTTGTTTTTTTTTTTTTTTTTGTAACTAGTCCATTCCAACTAATTTCCCTAGACAATATCATATATAGTCGTTTTTTTAATTTCTTAGGCTAAAATGTCTTTTCGCAATGTCAGTTTGCATTAATTTATTTACCAATTTTTTTTTATGAATGAAATCTTGTAAAACACTACCATACCTTTACACAACATATATCTTACCAATATACTATATTTACAGATGGAACCAAGAGAGAAAGAGTAAGAGACTTTTACGCAAATCTCCACTAAATTTCGAATATGTTAACCACCTTCATCACAAATACAGAACTTTCTTTGTCAATGCGTATCATAGCATTAAACATGCCTTACTACACATTGATGAGGAATAACGCCTTTCAATTCAAATTACACCCAAAAAGTTTTGTTTTCTTGTAATTGTCATATATTTTGCATTGTAGGAACTTTCTACCATTTTGAAACGGAATTTGCTAAATATACCTTTCTAGAGAAAAACTCCAAACACCATATAAATCATTAATTTTTCCTGTAGTATTACCACACTAGAGAATAAGTATCTTAGAACTATTTTCTTAATATTAAGAACTAAATATGAAATAGCATTTTTCACTGTAGAATATTTAAGGTTTTACGTAAATGAGTATAACCTTTACCGAATTTAAATTATTATCCAGAATTCCCAACAAATGTTTAGAAAATGTGTTGATAGAAGCGATATATTACCTATATTACCTAAGGTCATAAACTAAGTCTATAACAGATTTTTATCGCTCCAGATTTTTATCAGTGGAAAAAACCTGAAGTTCACTTTATCTACTCTTGTCATTTATACAAAAAAATGAATCATTCTGTAGTACAATTAGCATTTACATACATTTATACTAAATAATTTTAATTAACTTTCAATTAGGATTTTTAAAAAAAGCATTTTATGTGACATGTTATTAATTATCCCAAGCGTTGTTGAGGAAAATGCAATTAAATATCCACATACACATTAAGAAAATCCTACTCATTAGGAACAGTAAAATCTTACCAATACTTAAACGAAAATGTAAAATATTGTAATGCATTAATATAAAACCTGGTAACAAATCATTTCTATAAGCTGTATACGATTAAAAAGACTTTTCTTATAACTATCAACTTTTAAGAAGTAAGAGAAGGTAATGAAACACGTTTTAGAAATTTCCTTTATTTTCTAATTAGACCTTTTGTAGTAACGAGAAAATTCAGTCATACTCTATTTTATTTTATGTAGGCATGCGCATTTCTTCTAACAGACAAAAATCGAAAATATATCACTTTCCAAAGATTTAGCTTTAGACTACTTTCATCGGAAAAGGAAAATAATTTTACTTAAAAACACAGCTTTCTACTCAAAGAACTGGAAACAATCACGAACAAACACTATATGTAGCACTCAGTGATTTGTTTCAAACCAAATTTTGATATTGTTTAATCATGCAAGCAACAATTTTCAATCTTGAGTTAAATTTTATACGACTGCAACAGTTTTTCAATTGGCTTTCATGCTCACATTGTGTAAAAGACTTCTAGTTTTGACTATTTTAATTTCTAATATTGAGAAAAACTTTGATATTTTCAGAAAACGTCATTTCACAATCATACTTACCACTCTGAAACTTTTGAATAAACTTTCTACCATAACGACAACCAGATACTACATTATTTTTTACAAAAACATGAATATTTTTTTTTTAAATCCTCTTCTAGAAATACTAAAATTCTGCTATAGAAGAAATTTCAATTCTATTATAACTCTATATACTATTTGTAAAGAGAAAAGACACTCTAGATGATAACATATCACCCATATATTTTTTAAAATTAGAACAATTTCAAAAAAGGCAAATTATCTACAGAGTTTCCAAATACGGATATATTTCTGAAAGAAAACTGCCTAACATACCGCTCATTTACTCTAAACCGTTTAAGTAAATCATCAATTCATAAATATTTGAATTTTCCATAAGGTTTAGTACATCTTACAGTTATTAATTCATGAACTACTAATTTTGAAATAATAAGAGTGAAAACATCACTATTTCAGAATTAGGAAAATTTCAATAATGAGAGTTGAAATATACCGAACTTCATGCAAAATTTTATCGTTTCATACCAAAACATTTCCACTTTTTTCGTAGATTCTAATAACATAGCCCAATCGTTTTCAAAGAATATATTTCATTTCACATTAATCAGAGAGTGCCATAGAGTTTTAATGCAGGTGCTTACTGAATGCACTAAAATTTCAAGGAAAAAATCAAATATTTTTCATCTTCATGAAATCTTTGAAACAATAATATTTCATCGAGCTAGAAGACTTAGTGCAATGAAACAGTATCAAAAATAGAAAACTATTTTTAAAATTTTAAATTCCCATTGAACATTTAGATATTCTTAGTAACTTATATCCGAAGTTATATCAATTCAGTCGAACTTGAAGACCAACCAATGTACTACATGATTTTACAATTTTGTATTTTTTATTTTTTTTTCCCGAAAAAGAATAGATTTTTCATACGCAAACTATTACAACGAATTAATGACATTTTATACTGCACAAAAAATTTAAGTTCCATATTCAAAGCACAGCATCCATAAATTTCACATAATACTACAGTACACAATACAAATTATAAAAAAGCTGAATATCTATATTACCTACAGAACAGAGCTACAAACTCAGGACCTACTTAAAGAATACTTGAAATTTTCAAAATTTTATATAATTCTATGCAGATTTCATACATTAAGCACATTTCACGTTTTTTAGAAATGTAATCACGCTCCCAAGACAATGGCCATGTATCCAACCTTATGAAAGTGAATCATTTAATAGAAGGGTAGTTTTATTATCTTCAACTGGTAAGCAAGCGATTAGGGAAGTGGGCTTGTTAAACAAGGACAGACATATCCTAGTAGTGGTAGTTTAAAAGGCGTCACTTTCCTAATCACTTGTTTACCGGTTGAAGATAATAAAACTAACCCTTCTTATTTTAGATGATTCACTTTCATAAGGTTGGATACATTGGCCATTGTCTTGGGAAGTGTGATGCTACATTTCTGAAAACGTGAAATGTGCTTAATATATGAAATATGCATAGAATTATATAAAATTTTGAAAAGTTTCAAGTATTCTTTAAGTAGGTCCTTGAGTATTGTAGTCTTTGTTCTGTATGTACGAGTAATATAGATTATTCAGCTTTTCTTATAATTTGTATTGTGTAACTGTAGTATTATGTGAAAATTATGTATGCTGTGCTTCGAATATGGAACTTAAAATAGTTTTGTGCAGTATAAAATGTCATTAATTCATTGTAATAGTTTGCGTATGAAAAATATAAACTTCTATTTTCGGGAAAAAATACCAGAAATATGTAAAATCATGTAGTACATTGGTTGGTCTTCAAGTTCGACTGAATTGATATAACTTCGGATATAAGTTTACATAAGAATATCTAAAATGTTCAATGGGAATTCAAATTTGTAAAAATAGTTTTCTATTTTTGATACTGTTTCATTGCCTAAGTCTTCTAGCTCTTATGAAATATTATTGTTATTACAGATTTTTCATGAAAGATGAAAAATTTTGATTTTTTCCTTGAAATTTTTAGTGTCATTCAGTAAGCACCTGCAAATTAAACTCGTATGGCACTCTCTAATTAATGTGAAATGATATATATTCTTTGAAACGATTGGGCTATGTTATTAGAATCTACGAACTAGTGAAATGTTTGGTATGAAACGATAAAAATTTGCATGAAGTTCGGTATATGTTCACTCTCATTATTGAAGATCTCTTCCTAAATTCTGAAATAGTGATGTTTTCACTCTTATTATTTTCAAAATTTAGTAGTTCATGAATTAAATAACTGTATAGATGTACTAAACCTTATGGAAAATTCAAATATTTTATGAATTGATTGATTTTACTTAAACGGTTTAGAGGTAAATGAGCGGTATGTTAGGCAGTTTCTTTCAGAAATATATCCGTATTTGGAAACTCTGTAGATAATTTGCCTTATTGAAATTGTTCTAAATTTTTAAAAAATATATGGGTGATATGTTATCATCTAGAGTGTCTTTTCTCTTTACAAATAGTATATAGAGTTATAATAGGAATTGAATCTTCTTTCTATAGCAGAATTTATTAGTATTTCTAGAAGAGGATTTAGAAGAAAAAAAAATATTCATGTTTTTGTAAAAAATAATGTAGTATCTGGTTGTCGTTATGGTAGGAAAGTGTTATTCAAAAGTTTCAGAGTGGTAAATATGATTGTGAAATGAGTTTTCTGAAAATAATCAAGTATTTCTCAATATTAGAAATTAAAATAGTCAAAACTAGAAGTCTTTTACACAATGTGAGCATGAAAGCCATTGAAAATATGTTGCAGTCGTATAAAATTTAACTCAAAGATGAAATTGTTGCTTCTGATAAACAATATCAAAATTTGGTTTGAAACTAAAATCACTGAGTGCTACATATAGTGTGTTGTTCGTGATTGTTTTCAAGTTCTTTGAGTAGAAGATATGCTGTTTTTTAAGTAAAATTATTTTCCTTTTCCGATTGAAAGTAAGTCTAAAGCTAAATCTTTGGAAAGTGATATTTTTCAGATTTTTGTCTGTTAGAAAAATGCGCATGCCTACATAAAAATAAATAAGAGTATGACTGAATTTTCTCGTTACTACAAAAGGGTAGATTTAGAAAATAAAGGAAAATTTCTAAAAACGTTGTTTCATTACCTTACTTTACTTCTTAAAAGTTGATAGTTATAAGAAAAGTCTTTTTAATCGTATAGCTTATAGGAAATGATTTGTTACTCAGGTTTTATATTAATGCATTACAATATTTTTACATTTCGTTTAAAGTATTGGTAAGATTTTACTGTTCCTAATGAGTAGGATTTTCTTAATGTGTATGTGGATATTTAATTGCATTTTCCTCAACAACGCTTGGGAGTAATTTAATAACATGTCACATAAATATGCTTTTCTTTTAAAAATCCTAATTGAAAGTTAATTAAAATTATTTAGTATTAAATGTATGTAAAATGCTAATTGTACTACAGAATGATTCATGATTTTTTTGTGTATAAATGACAAGAGTAGATAAAGTGAACTTCAGGTTTTTCTCACTGATAGTAAATCTGGAGCCGATAAAAATCTGTTATAGACTTAGTTATGACCTTAGGTAAATATAGGTAAATATATCGCTTTCTATCAACACATTTTCTAAACATTTGTTGGGAATTCTGGATAAATAATTTAAATTCGGTAAAGGTTATATCCTCATTTACGTAAAACCTTAAATATTCTACAGTGAAAAATGCTATTTCATATTTAGTTCTTAATATTAAGAAAAATAGTTCTAAGATAGTTATTCTCTAGTGTGGTAATACTACAGGAAAAGTTAAATGATTTATATGGTGTTTGGAGTTTTTCTCTCAGAAGAGGTAATATTTACAAATTACAGTTTCTCAAAATGGATAGAAAGTTCCTACAATGCAAACATATATGTACAATTACAAGAAAACATAACACTTATTTGGGTGTAATTTTGAATTGAAAAGGCGTTATTCCTCATCAAATGTGTATTAGTAAGGCATGTTTAACTGCTATGATACGCATTGTACGAAGAAAGTTCTGTATTTGTGATGAAGAAGGTTAACATATTCGAAATTATAGTGGAGATTTGCGTAAAATGTCTCTTACTCTTTCTCTCTTTGGTTCCATCTGTAAATATAGGTATATTGGTAATGATATATGTTGTGTAAAGGTATGGTAGTGTTTTACAAGATTTCATTCATAAGAAATAAATTGGTAATAAATTAATGCAAACTGACATTTGCGAAAGAACATTTTAGCCTAAGAAATTAAAAAAAACAGACTATATATGATATTCTAGGGAAATTAATTGGAACTGGACTAAGTTACCAAAAAAAAAAAAAAAAAAAAAAAAAAAAAAAAAAAAAAATGTGTTAACACTATGTGTTAGAAATAAATGTATACCAATAAAACAAACTTTCAAGAGATGAAATGGTAACCAATGGGTAAAATCGATTGTCCATTTCTTATTCAATACTGTAAATGTTTATCTTAGAAATTTCTTTTGGATATGTAACCTAAATAATCGTCCATTTCACATGAAATTCGTTCATGAAGGCAGAAATATCTATACTTAGTGTAAGGAAAGGTAATAAAATGAAAATTTGCATAGTCGAAACATTTAAAGTGATGTAGAATACATTCAATTAGTACAAATTACTGAATTAAGAGGTATTGAGCGTTCAAAATAATAAGAAAGAATTTTGTACGAGTACATGAAAGAATGAATATGGGTCTAAAATTATGGATGAAAGTTGAGATTTCATTCTAAAAATTCGGAATCTATCAAACTAGCTTAATGAGAATCAAGATTCAAAACTGAACATTGGTAACACTGAAGAGCTTAAAAACATATATTCAGATATAAAGGGTATTAAGAATTAAAAGGAAATGCCAATATGCAGGAAATGTTAAAGTTTGAAAATGCGAATGAAGTTAATAATGAAGTAAAGTAGTAGGATAAGTCATGGTAAGAGTACTACAGAATGATAAATTGTAGAATTGGCAAATTAAAAATAGTACTATAAAATATGGACTAAGTAAGGGCTATTCAACGAATTGGATATGAATAACAGTTAAAGGTTGTGTAAATAAAATGCTTAATTGAAATCAATCTCTATGTTTAAGAATTTAAGCGTGTTAATTTAGCTCAAATAGTAAAATCACAAGCGCAATTACAATCAAAAATTATAAAACAAGTTAAACTTTAGAGTATGTTGGAAACTAGAAAGAAACCCAGTGCCCGAAAAGTATGAAATTACATCTGAAAATTAACTAAAGTTTCATGCGTATGGTAGGAAAATGTAATAACAAGTTCAAAATTAGAGTACTTTAAAAAATTACGAAGGTATAAAATGTACGAAACATGTTAAAAATAATATCTAAAATTGAAATAAAGCTCATATACATGACAAGAAAATAGAGGAATTAAGCTAAAATTAAGAGCCTGTTTGAAATTAGAAGTGTAAAACGTATGAAAGTCATGTGAAAGTATAAAAATTAGTTAAAATTCTTAGTATGTTTGGAAACTAAAAACATAAAAAACAGAAAAGGAGTTAAATTTACATCTATAATTAAATAAGTTAGGTATATGGTAGAAAAATGTAATAAGCAAGTTTAAAATTAAAGTAAAATGTTTAAAATTAAAGTTTAAAATTCAAAATTTACGAAGGTTTAAAATGTACGAAAAAAAAATTACATCTAAAATGAAATAAAGCTCATATATATGGTCAGAAAATATAGGAATTAAACTAAAATGTAAAGCATATTTGAAATTACGAAGTTTAAAACGTATGAAAGTAGCTATAAATTAAATGAAAGTCATGTAAAGTGTAATAACAAGTTAGTTAAAATTCGAGTATATTGGAAACTAAAAACGTTAAAATATAAAAAGAAGTTAAAATTTACACCTAAAATTAAATAAAGTCAGGTATATCATGTGAAAATATAGCAATTAGGTTAAAATTAGGACTATATTGGAAATTATGAAGGTTAAAATGTATGAGAGAATGAAGTAAAAGTCATGTACGTAGTGTGAAAATATATCAAATTAGTTAAACTCAGAGTATGTTGGGAAACTAAAAACGTTAAAAAAAAAAATAAGTTAAAATTTACACATAAAATTAAATAAACGTCAGGTATATGATATGAAAATGCAGGAATTATGTTAAAATTATGACTACATTGGAAATCATGGAGGTTAAAATGTATGAGATAAATCAAATAAAAGTCATGTATACAGTGTGAAAATATAAACTGGTTAAAAATTTAAGTATATTAAATAGTGTGAAGGTTAAAATGCACAAAACAAGCTAAAAATGTTACATCTAAAATTAAATACAAGTCATCTATATGTTTAGAAAATGTATGAAATAAGTTAAAATACAGAATATGTTGAATATCGCTAACGTTGAAAAGAACGAAAAAAGTTAAAAATTACATCTAACATTGAATAATATAATACACGAAAATGCGTGTTTTAGTAATTACACTCATAAAATATAACGAATAAGTTAAAAATATTGCCTAACAAGTCTGAAAAACTCTGGGTATAATGAATTTAGGAATAAGAATGAGTAATGCAATGAAGATTACGGAAAGTAGTTTATTTATGAACAGAAGATTTAAGAAATAAGGTCAAATTCTGAGTGTATAGGATCATTCAATCATTAAATTCGAAAATAATCCTCGTTCAGGGTAACTAGGAGATAATCATCATATACGTAGTAAAACAGTTGGAATACGAAGAAAAACACAAAGAATAAAAATTTATTAACGAAGGGAAATCACCTCCGATAAATCAGTAAAATATAATCTCTTATTAAATTGTGATGACATGTAGCAATTTTGCAGATATTCAGTCATAGAATAAATACAAGTAAGAAAATAATTATTTTCCAAAGACTGTGAAGGAAACATTTTATTTTATATCTGTTTCTAGAAAATAACTGTATCAGTCACTTAAAACACCTACTTGATATACGTTTTTAAGAACTCAATATAATAAGCAAGTTTACAAATTATCATATAACTACTAAACCTAAATCACCAAATTAAAAAAAGAAATAATCTAAGCACACGTCCTTTTTCTGTGACGTAGCAACAACTCTACTCGCATCCACTTCCTGATAAGGCTTCCTGTCCCCATTTTCAGATAAGCGTCCCTTCCACGGCTGAGCCTTCCTTCTCGGGAGCTCCCTCAACTCCGGCTCCCTAAAGCTCCCGAGCCAGAACTCTCCTTTTTTTCCTCTACTGATGATTCTACAACGATTGCATGCAGATTAACTAAAGACATAAAAACCTTAACTGGAATATAAGAACAATATAATGCAACTAGTTTTAAAGCAAAAAATGCATTATTAACCAACATATAAGAACATAAGTTTGCTCCGGCCGAATGCAACCAAAACGGGAAGTGCACAACTACATGTTATAACAGTCCCATGTAAAAAATTTTAACGCTCTGAGGCTACTCATTTTTGAATTATATGAAGTACTTATATACGTACATACAGAAAATCTTTTCTGAATCCATTTTACATTTCGTTTGGAAATAAAGAGTCCTTTATTCTGTCCGTAGATACACGTCAAGCAAAAAACATCATTCAAATGGATTCAAGAGAGGTCAATATGGATATTTCCGTTGAAATATGATAGCTGACATTTTATGCGATTACAAATTTTAAAAATAGTACGAAGTAAAAAAATATTTAAATTGCAGAACACTAAAAAATTAGTTACATTTGTCTCTCTTACATACATAGTTTTTACTTATTTTCTAAAACAAAAAAAAAAAAAAAAAAAAAAAAAAAAAAAAAAAAAATAGGAAAGCTCTAAAGTTATTAAGTATTAAAATTTAATATTAAAGTATTAATGTTTTAGCATTACATTTTTACAAATATATACAAAATCCATCAGTCGGGATATAAAAGAAATTAAATGAAAAAAAAAAAAAAAAAAAACTGAAAGGTTTCAGGCTTTAACGGTTACTCAAGAGCACTCTTAAGGGACAGTAGACGATGGTTTTTAACAAAAATCGACCAAAAATTGGGAAATAAAAATTTCACATGATAATATTCTACGGTTTTAACTCTACTGTCTACAAAAAACCACTTGTGCGTAAAATTATTTTTATGGATGTAATAAGCATTTGAATACGCTTGTTAGCTAAATTTTTTGTTTTAAATGTCAGTAAAAAGGTAAACAAACATTTGAGAAACGTTATTTTAATTTCCACGACTTTTTTACTATTAGTAAGATATGAAGACCCCAATTTTTGCAATTTGTTTCTGTTCTTCCACGGATGACTCACCCAGACATTATAAATGCCTAATAGGTGTCATATCATTTTTTTTCCAAGTAGCATTGCCAAAAATAAGAAACCTAAACCTCAATGATAAAAACTAAATTAACAGTAGATGTTTTATCTGTAGTACTGCCAGTTTATCAAAGACTAGCCAGTAATGAACTTTCAGCAAGATGCATATCTGGAGAAACACAAAACACTAAGGAGAATTTACATAGTGTCGTTTGAAAGAACTGCCTCAGAGAAACATTTGTTTTGAAAACAGACTCGAAATAGCTGTTATCACAGCAATTAGTGACTTCAATTTTGAGTGTTTAAATACTATAGCTATAGAACAGGGAAATATAAATTCATGTTCAATATCTGTTGGACAAAGGCAAGATACACGTCGTATAGACCAATGCAAAAAGAGGTGTTCGTCTGGCAAGAAAAGAAGAATTGTCGAAAAAACTGTGTAAAGTAGCTAAGCATAATAAAAATGTAACTAAGGAAGGGGAAACATATGGTGCAGGAAGATTTTAAAACGATTCTTAGTTTAACAAAAATTATTTAGTTGAATTTACTGAAAGTGTTCTAGGAAATTTCAAAAATAATATGAAGTATATTTTACGATTTTATTAGTAGAGAAAAATTATTTATGCATACGTAAAATAATGTTAAAATATTTTATATTAAATAAAATCACCTATTAGGACATACTGAGAAGTAAATAGTAAAGCTAAGAGTAAAAATATTCTTAAAATGTATTTTCTCATAATGAAATTTTCGTGATTATCACATCTTCAAAATGCTCCATGCGGTTTAGTGTATATTTTAGTGTAATGACTGTAATTTGTAATTTAGATTCCCATTTATACATGTAACAAAACTTAGTATTCATTTTTGAATGCAAATTCATTAAGGGGATAAAAGCCCAATTAAAAGTGTATTAAAGTGGGAAATTTTGTCCAAAATTTAGGTACATGTGAAAGAAATATTAATTAAAATCTAATATTTTGTGCAATTCACTAATTGATACTAAGTTGTGTTTATAATGCATTTTCAATAAAAATAAAGCAAAATTAACAAGAAAAAAAAAAATAAGACCCATGGAGCATTTTGAAAATATTTTTAAAAATTAAAACAAAATTTTAAAAAAAAAATTAAATTGCAATGAGCCAGAAACTTTCTTTGAGTTTTTCAAAGATATTTGATATAACTATAGTAAAATATATAAGCATGCAAAGTTTCATATCTCTATGACAATAATTTAAAAAAAAGTATTTGAACGTCCACCGCCCCGTTAAGCTCACTTAAAGTTTAATACTGTTTATCAGTAAAGATTATAAATAGTGATGGTCCAGATAGAAGAGTGAAACATTCTATGCGATACTAGATAAATATACATTTAAACTAACATGGGAACTTTCTACATTTTCTGTGTATTTGAAAAGTGAAAAAATATGTAACGTCATTCTATAAAAATGTTGAATGTTTTCAATAAAATTACATCATGAATTAAATGAATTTCTATTTAAATCAATCCGATTTAAGAGTGAAAAAATAATTTTCTTAAGACTTGCATCTGATTTTAAATAGCTTGTTAATCAATAACAGGCAGGTTCAATCTGAAAAATAAGTACCTTAAATTCTGCCGAGTGGCAAGACTCGAATGAAAAGTGAAACAACGAATGAAAGTGAACATCGCGTTTCCATAGTAATATCACTTTGGAGTTAAAAAACCTTGCTGACATTCTATGGAAAAGACGAAAAAAAAAGAGAATTCAAGATATAAAAAACGCGACAGTTTCAGAATCTAAACCAAAATGCTGAAGCTTAAAATAGTTACCATATACTTTCTCAAAATTTATATTCTCATAATGAAAAAGACCAATTCGGTACAAAGGAGAGGAAAAAAATATACAGAAAATGAAAGAAATCGGCTGACAACGGGGGTAGGAATACTTTTAAATTTCGAATATGAAAAAAAAAGTGACTCTTCTTTTTGATAGTGCAATCATTTTATACGGTCTTAATTTACAGAATGAAAGTTTTCCTTCTGTAAACTCATAAAATAATTTAGAAGAAACTTATGCTTCGTAATAAAGGATCATTAATAACTATTTTGAATTATTTTAACAGGGCTTGGTTTAGCTACACTTTTCATTGCCTTGGCTTTAAGAATGGTAGCATCACTAATTGCAGCTTTTGGAGCAGGTTTTACATTAAAAGAACAAATCTTTGTCACTTTTGCAGGGTTACCGAAGGCTACAGTTCAGGTATTATTAATGCTTTTTTGTTTTTGTTTTTGTTGTTATTTTTTTATTTTATTTTTTTTTTTTGGAAAAAAAATAAAATTATAGTAGTACCTTGGTATACGTCCTCTTTAAAATAGTCCAACTTAATATATGTCCTGTATGAGCGCAACATGTTTTGTGTGGAATACTACAAAAGTTGAAAGAATCACGAGTGAGATTACTACTATTGTCTAAATCTTTCGAGAAAATGCTACGACTGTCGCTACTGTTAGTAAATAACCCATGCTTTAAGGTTTCACGTGATTTTGTCAAAAAAAATAATTTGCATATATATAATTTTTTTTTAATTTGTTAACAATGAGCTTTAAAGAAGTTAGTGCCCAGCAACAAATAAAAGGGTTGTGATCACAATGAAAAAAAGAGATTGTTCAAAGTATGAAGATGACACGCGTATCTGGGACTTGGCTACTGCATATCGTATGTCGGGAACGACGACATCTATGACTGTGAAACGTAGAAACGCTATTAAATCGGAAGTGAAACCGATTACCGAATAAACATCACAGATATTACAGCATGTTCAGAAAGTGCTTTTGATTTAGACCAGTGATTGTCAACCGGTGGTACGCATACCACTGGGTGGTAGGCAAGAGAAAAATAGGTGGCATGTAAAGAAACAAAGTATTTTTAACTACTAAATTCCAAAATTAAATACTCCAACATCCTCTCTGAGATTTTTTCAACACTCGTAAATTTATGCGATCGGAGCTTTGTTCAAGGTTAATAGCCGCTCATAGACTTTAGCAAAGCAATCCGTTTTTGTTATCACAATTATTCTTTTAGTCATAGACGTAAGAAAAATGTGTCATAAATGGCGTTTTTAAAAGTCATAGAAATGGATGTTCCAGGCTCATATTGCTCTGTTTTGAATTAGAATAATTTTTTTTACGTCGACGTGACTCTTAAGCAGGCCCAAATTTCACACTTAAGTTTAGAATTAAAGTAATATTATAACTTAATATTACTTTACGATTATTAATTAAAGATAACTAAACTGGTAACCAATTTCTAATCTAATATTTTTTATGTGTGAATTTTTAATACATATAGCTAATAGGTTGTGCAAATGGCAAAACACTTTAATATTTCTACAGCGAAATTGAAAAATAATCATTGTGAAATATAGTGGTGGTACTAAAGTTTTCAAGATTTTGTTTAGGTTGGTCAAAAGGTTGGGAACCGCTGATCTAGATAGCAGAAAAGCATTTATGTACAGTACATACTTCACCCATTGATTTTAATATTAAACAGTGTTATAATAATAATAGGATTTCTTTATAAAAAAATAAGTTAATTATTTCCCTTAATTTCTAACTGCAAACATTCGTTTAATATACCTCCAATCCGGTCAAGTTCAAGGATCTGAAATGGATTAATGGAGTATACCGAGGTACCACTGTGATACAAGAACAAAATTAAATATTTCTTTTCCCTCATAATTTTTAATAGGCAGCCATTGGTCCTGTAGCACTTGCACTGGCACGTAAGAATAAATTAGGGCCAGAGATTGAACAGTATGGAATACAGGTAAGTTACTCAAGCAGTTTCATAAGGTATAAATTATCTTTTTAATTTCACGTTAAATTGCTTTCTTTTGTAAAATGTGTAAACTGTTAAAGAAAAATATAATCACATACAGACTGAAAAAAATTAAATTATTTAATGAATTAAAGATCAATTAACCTTTTACCTGCCGCACTATGATCCAGGAATAAAAGACACAACTAATTCATCAAATTCACATCAAAATACACCCATAAAGATTTATAAAACCAAACAAAAAATTGTCGTAAAAAAAAAAAATTCTGTGTATGATTTCCCGGATGTTCCATTGGAACATCAGCATGTAATGCTACCTTTTCTCTCTTTTTTTTTTTCGGCTTCATGAAAACAAAGCGTCGTATGATGAATCTTTTATAAAATTTTAACTCTGTAATAATGGTTTATTGAACAATTTGATCTGAAATTACTAAAATTTAGTAAAACTCGTTAAAAAAATTTACATAATTTTTAATTAGCGCAATATTTTATAAGAAATACAATGCAAAAAGTATAAAGAAACAATAAAACAATTTTACGCACACGCAAACTTGACTAACAATATGCATAATATGAATAAATGCGATTTTAAAAATACCTTACTAATAAAATATAAAATATTTTATTCTTTAGATGGCACGTGGGATTTCAACCAGTAGCACAAAACATATAAAACATTCTAAAGTACATATTTTTTGCAATTCTTTTAGCAATTTCTCAGTGACCATGATATTGTGCGCATTCAAAACACATGTTTACAGTAATTTTTTTGGTACACTACACAACTCCCTTGTAATGATACAACTATACAGGGTGCATAGAAAAGTCCCTTGAACCTGAAAATTCTTGCAAACGGAGAGAGTTACAGCTATGCAAGTGAGGTAACGGTATAACAAAGCGACTACGCCCGACCTAATGCAAACAACAGCAGCGCCCCTTGTGGCGAAATTTGGAAAATAGGCATTGCAAATCGAAAATGAAAAGAGATAGCGCAAAATTCCCAATAAAAAGTTTTTAGAGCACCAATTAATTAGCACGAAACGATATTTGGTTTACACGGATGAGATAAACTGCCTCCTGTATACCCAAAGATGCCCGTAATCGATGCACTCCATTTTGTGTAAACGTTTGAAAGGAATAGCCATAAGTATTAAGAAATATGGCCCTTTTTATTGAAAAAAAAATGCGTACTTATGTCAAATACAGTTTGATAACATTACTCACACACACACACCATAATGCAAAAGCAAACTAGTGATAGTAAGTTAATGTTATAGTCTGTCTTCGAGATTATAATAAGGTTTGAGATTATGCTGTTTGTATGAAGTGAGAGCCAACATCTTTAAATTAAAATTTTATATCATTGGAAATTAAAGTTTTACAGACTTTACAGTACAGTACAACGTCACAAGCTGCAATTGCGCAATGCTACAATTTCGAAATGTGAATACGGAGAGTAGAATCGTCTCGCATCAATTGCGGACATCTTTGGGTATACAGGCGACAATTTAGCTTAACTGTGGGAACCAAACGTCGTTTCTTACTAATGAATTGATGCTACAAAACTTTGCAATTGGAAATATTGCTCTATCTCTTTTCATATTTGATTTTCAATGCCTATCTTCCAAATTTCGCCATTAGGAGCACTGCTATTGTTTCCATTAGGTGGGCGCAGTCGCTTTATTATACCATTACTCCACTTGCATAGCTGTAGCGTGTCTTCGTTCGCAAGAATTTTCAGGTTAAAGGGACTTTCCTATGCACCCTGTATAATATGCATCTGATTTTCTTGCAGACGTCGATTGACAAGCACGGGGTCCTGGTATAACGTCAATTCTAGGTTTCGCTCAAAGGAAATTCAAAGTAATTTCTCTTCTAAAATTCACAAGAGTCATTTCTAATGTGGTGCTTTTATGTAAATCAGTGTGTAAAATCCACCCAGCAGCCACAACCATATTCAAAGCATTGATCCAGTACCATTTTCTGCTGCGAAATTTTGGTCGATAACTTCCCAGAAGTCGGTCCAACAGGTCTACTCCACCCATTCCTTCATTACATAATTTTATAATGTAAGGTTGGGGAACATCAACTTTGTTTTTTCAGGTTCGGACATAGCTTTTTGTTCTTAATGGTTCTTGAGTCATAAAATTTGATGCAATACTTAGAACAGAAATATCGTTCCAACGGCACATATAAACTTCTCCATCGCATCAGTAATCAAATTCTCCACGTTGAAATTTCGACGTTTCTTTTGCTGTTTAAAGAGGACATTGTTCCTTTCTAGAATCTCGTAGTGTGGCGGTTGCCTTAAAGTCTTTCTTAGATAAACCTGCCAGCAGACTGTGCGATGTAAAAATGTTATCGAAAAATACTTTGTGTTTTTCTGGTTTGTCAATAAAAGATAATAGGCAACTTTTGATCCTAGCGGCAAATTTTCATTTTTCGAACTTTTCCCACCGTACGTAAGCATAGCATAAGGATAGTCATTTGCTGAGCAGAGCATCCAAACTTTTGAAACTAAAGCTAACTGGCTTTCCACGTATGAACATCTTAGCAGAATGTTCATACGTGTCCGTAGTACGGAATCATGGATTCATCGATACTCAGATTTTCATGTAAAATTCAAATTGACGAAACTTTTTCCAGTCTCTTCATAAAAGGGAAAGATATTCCTAATTTGTCCTCTGGTTCCAATTTATTGTTATCAACAATTCGGAAATACTACTTTTTTAACATCCGAAATTTATTTCTGGGCATTGTAGTGCTAACAATTGGGATACGCAAATCTTCCTGAGAGCTCCAATATGAATTTTCATCAGGTACTGAGTGATAGCTACTAAATAACAGCAATCCAAGAGACTGCCGAATGTCATTTTCGTCGACATCCAAAGAGTCTCTTTTTTTGTAGGGCATACAGTTTTGTAAGTTCTGATAAATTTTCTCAGATGGCAGAAATTTATAAAAAATTTCAGTTGGAGTCAAATTACTGAATTAAGGAAAAGTTTTAATATATTATCAGTAAATTTTGTATGTTGTTACATGCCAATGTTCCTTTTTTGGAACACTGCGTTTTTACACAGTCTTGAAGACATATTTCTTGTTATTATTTGAATTTCTTTTGCTAACTTATTAAACTTGTCCTCTGCAAGTAGGATGGGAAAATATAGGGGTGGACTTGAATTTTTAGGAATTTTATAGAATTTTTTTCCCTTAAGTACCGTAAAAATTGTAAAACAAAGGCGATTTTTAGAAATTTTCTATGCTGAAATATTCGTATTTGAAAATAAATTTTATGAAAAAAATCAAAACTTTTGGAGTGGATTTGAATTTTTAGGAAATTTTCTTTCGTAAGTACCGTAAAAATTATAAAACAAAAGGATGATTTTTAGAAATTTTTCTATGCTGAAATATTCATATTTAAAAAATAAATTTTATGTCAAAAATATCAATCATACCTTTTATAATAAACGGTAATTTTTTTCGCACTGGCAGATATGATAGTTTATTTTTTAAAAATATTAATATGATGTTCCAAAAAAGGAACACTGGCATTTAAAAGGCTAATGCAAAATAATTATAACAAATAAACTTTGAGAATTTACAGTTAGTTATGCTGAACTGAAACTTAATACAAAGTAAAATTCAAAAAAAAAAATTAAAATAGCAGTCAGCTGTGGCTTCGGACTAGACAAGAATTCTAGTTGATATCTCTAACTCTGAACAAGATTTCAGCTCTGTTGGCGAGTTATCTATCATGTTTGAAAGCGATATATATCTACCGTTACCGCCAAATGCTGGTATGGCAGGCAAACAGCCTTGTCGGTTTATAACTTATTAATCAATACTGTTTCAAATATAAACCTCGTCGGTTTGTATTTGAAACAATACTAATTAATAAGCAGCATACTAATGAATCGTGCAAGGTCGCTTGAATAGATGCTCAATAGTAGGGTCCGCTAATCCGTTACATGTTGCCGTTTGCAATGTTCTCAAACAAATTATGAACACTTGAAAGAACATAGCCATGAGCAGGAGGTATGTCCAGATCGAGGTGAATATTCCGAATTCTGAGGAACCACGGCGCATTCGAATTGTTCTCAATAGCTTATTTTGGAATACATATAATTTCTTGCAGCAATATTTGGGTGCTGTAGCACAAACTGGAATAGCATAAGACAGAATTTGAAGTATGTGTTATACAAAGAGTTATTTTCACTCTTAGTCTGAACTTCGATTTCCTCACTAAGAGGCTGTGTAGTACCATGGAAGTCGCGTTTCCTTTGCTTCAGGAGTAACTGACTTGCTCCTTAAAGTTTACCTGTTCATCTAGGATTACGTATTTTGTAGAATTTCAACAGGAAGAATTTAATTCCATATTCGTAGATTTAAGTTCGCAGGATGGTTTTTCCCGTACCTTGTGAGTAAGATCGTTCTACATTTACTTGCATTTAATTTAAATGTCCGTAGATCACACCAATGTGCAATCACACTTACGCTAAATTGAAAATTTTCCATAGCGTGATTTAGCCTGATAGATTTGGTCATTACTACCGTATCATCAGCGTGATAGAAGTCTGATTCTAAGTCTTTCATAACTCGCATTTATCTACGGCTTAACAAACTTTATGGTCTCAGCGTTTATATTATAAAAGCTCTGACTATTTATGCCTAAGCCATAGTCAATTACGGAAAGCTAAATTTGAATGTACTTAATCTCTGATCCTCTACGCAGAGAATTTTACGTCTTGGAGAAATAATTTTGTTAGCGAATCTCAGATCCTTCGGGCAGTATCTGCAGTGAAAAATACGCTGTTGCTGAAGTAAAATGTTAGACAATTTCATATCAAAATGTGGTAAAACGTTTTGCTAAGCCAATAGAATAAAAAGTTTTCAAATGTCTGTCAAACACAGAATGTCGTTTAAGCCTAACAGGGCTCACAAGCTGCACTGCTTCAAAGAAGTCAAAACTTACATATTTTGCTGATTCG